AAAGGGAAACAGAAGAAGGGGAAGGATGAAAGGTCAAAAAGAGAGAAAAACACAAGCAAAATAATATGAGTAAGACCTACTCATAATCTCTTTTTTTCGGTGAGCCCAGCGACGACCGGACAGCCAAAAGCATTCACAAAGAAAGATAGCGTAATGAATCTCAACAAGGGAAGAATAAAATAGAAAAGAACGAGGAATGTAAGTATGGTTTTAAGATTAGAAGCATGTATTTGCACGTAATAAATTAGATAGCTTCTGTAAGCACCACCCAGAATTATCTTTAGCTTTGTCATAACTGTCTCGCGCCCTTTGTATGTTGTTAGCTTGTATAAAACAGGATTTTGAAAAGAAAGGGAGGATATTACGTTTTCTACCGTAATTATTACTGCCTGCAAATGCTTTCGTCACTTCTTGCCCATCCATAAATGCAAATAAAGGATGAGGATGGATGGACAAGAGGAAACAGGCAATGATTTGGAAGAGGCCCCAAAGACAGGGAAATTACAAATTTTACAAATTTTACAAATTCGAGTCTGAGAAATTAGCTTCCAGGAGAATTTGGTAGGAATTAAACTACAAATTTTACAAATTATACAAATTAATTTGTAAAATTTGTAAAATATCAAAAAAATCCGGCCCACAATTACAAATTTTACAAATTAATTTGTAAAATTTGTAAAATTTCAAAAAATATGGCCCAAAATTACAAATTTTACCAAATTCGAGTCTGAGAAATTGGCATCCAGTGGAATTTGGTAGGAATGAAATTGCGAATATCATATTTTCCAAAATTACAAATTTTACAAATTCGAGTCTGAGAAATTAGCTTCCAGGGGAATTTGGTAGGAATTAAATTACAAATGTTACAAATTTTATAAAATTTGTGAAATTTGTAATTTAATTCCTACCAAATTCCCCTGGAAGCTAATTTCTCAGACTCGAATTTGTAAAATTTGTAAAATTTGTAATTTTGGGCCGGATTTTTTGATACTTTACAAATTTTACAAATTAATTTGTAAAATTTGTAAAATTTGTAATTTAATTCCTACCAAATTCCCTTGGAAGCTAATTTCTCAGACTCGAATTTGTAAAATTTGTAAAATTTGTAATTTCGGGCCAGATTTTTGATATTTTACAAATTTTACAAATTAATTTGTAAAATTTGTAATTTCGGGCCAGATTTTCTTGATATTTTACAACTTTTACAAATTAATTTGTAAAATTTGTAATTTTGGGCCGGATTTTTTGATATTTTACAAATTTTACAAATTAATTTGTAAAATTTATAAAATTTGTAATTTAATTGCTACCAAATTCCCCTGGAAACTAATTTCTCAGACTAGAATTTGTAAAATTTGTAATTTTGGGCCAGATTTTTTGATATTTTACAAATTTTACTTTGATATTTTACAAATTTTGCAAATTCATTTGTAAAATCTGGAAATTTCACCTTTTACACATGTACTTGCGAAATTTGTGAAATGCTTAATTGTTAAATTCCCCAGAGTACGTTTCAATGTCAGCAAACATCCGATTTTGAATTAAAAGCTGGATTTGAACAAACACGCCTTAACGGCTTTTTTTGGGTCAAGTTTGTTTCATTTTGAATCGGTTGAAGTTTGGTAAGGACATGGGGAGGAAAGCATATTATCTTTTCATTTGGAATCTCTCTTTTCTGTTATTTCCATGTGTTTGTTTTTCTTTAGGATCTCGAATTCATACTCCTTTCTCTATCTTTCACTCTCTCCCCTGACCATTTCTTTCTACAATCAACTCAATAAACTAGGATGGAAAAGACAGGGATAAAGAAATAAACATAAGATAGGTAAAGGAGAGAGGACATCTTCTGTAACACGCTTCTTTTGGATAACTTTCATACCACACATACCTGATGGAGAAAGAGATGGAGAAAACCGTGCAAATAGAAAGACATGGAAAGGCTACTGGGATTGTGGGATGGATTCATTTGTATCTCAGAGATTTTATCGCATACCAGGTTAGACCAATCGATGAAGGTAAGGGAAAGGGAAAGGTGTGAAAGAACAAAGAATGATGAAGAAAATCTTCCGCCCAGACATCACGCAGAATACGCCAGATAGCCTGTCCGTGAGACTTGGAGGATATGATGATTGAAGATTCCCTCACTATCCCTTTCCAGCCTGATGTTTTTTGATATGTTTCAACTTAATTTGTAAAATTTGTAAAATTTGTAATTGTGGGCCGGATTTTTTTGATATTTTACAAATTTTACAAATTAATGTGTAAAATTTGCAAAATTTGTAAAATTTGCAATTTAATTCCTACCAAATTCCCCTGGAAGCTAATTTCTCAGACTCGAATTTGTAAAATTTGTAAAATTTGTAATTTCGGGCCAGATTTTTTTGAAATTTTACAAATTGTACAAATTAATTTGTAAAATTTGTAAAATTTGGGCCGGATTTTTTTGATATTTTACAAATTTTACAAATTAATTTGTAAAATTTGTAAAATTTGTAAGATTTGTAATTTAATTCCTACCAAATTCCCCTGGAAGCTAATTTCTCAGACTCGAATTTGAAAAAATTGTAAAATTTGTAATTTCGGGCCAGATTTTTTTGAAATTTTACAACTTTTACAAATTAATTTGTAAAATTTGTAAAATTTGTAATTTTGGGCCGGTTTTTTTTGATGTTTTACAAATTTTACAAATCAATTTGTAAAATTTGTAAAATTTGTAAAATTTGTAATTTAATTCCTGGAAGCTAATTTCTCAGACTCGAATTTGTAAAATTTGTAATTTTGGGCCGGATTTTTTTGATATTTTACAAATTAATTTGTAAAATTTGTAATTTTGGGCCGGATTTTTTGATATTTTACAAATTTTACAAATTAATTTGTAAAATTTATAAAATTTGTAATTTAATTGCTACCAAATTCCCCTGGAAGCTAATTTCTCAGACTCGAAGTTGTAAAATTTGTAATTTTGGACAATATGATATTCGCAATTTCATTCCTACCAAATTCCACTGGATGCCAATTTCTCAGACTAAGGTTTGCAATGTTCATGCAATCAATTCCTACAAGATCTGCCTGAAAGCCAGCCCTCAGTGTGATGTTGATGCCCAGACCTCTCCCCGGCACATTATACATACTCTTCCCTCTTACACCCCCCCCCCCAGTTTTTTTTTTGGGGGGGGGACACTGGCTGGAAGGGGCGCAAAAAGAGGGAAATGGCTTTGCCAAACACCCAAGTAGCTGAAAGGGGCAGGCTGTTTTCAGGTGCTTGTCAGGGTGCTGTTTGGTGCGCTCCAGTGCTTTGCTGGTTTCTGGCAGTGCTTGTTTTGCGATGCAGTCAGTGTTCAGGGTGCTGCTTTGGGTGCACTGTTTGTGCTTAAGGTGCTATAGATAGCGGTTTCTGGATAATTTGGTAAAGAGATCTTGCAACCGGCTTTGGCGTGCAGCTGAGTCTGGGTTATGCTCGTACAGAGCGGTGAAGGGATCTTTTGGAGTTGGTTGGGGACTAACTGTTGGTCATGGTTGCAAAAAACATGCTCCATTTGCTTTTCCGGTTTACAGTTTAGTCCGGTATTGGTGTTTTTGGTGGCAGCGCGATGCAAACATGTGATCGTCTTTCATGTGCCCGGCCTTTGGGCAAGTGAGGTGAACAAGAAAACGGTGGATGACGTGCCGACGGCTGAAGCGGAAGTCGAGAAAGTTCTGGATGATCCTAGTCAGACGACCCACGTGAAGGAGGATGCGAAAGCACCGGAACGCGTGCGGGGCGACAAGCCGGCAGCTTTGCCTGGACGAGATGCGCACAAGATTTCTTTGGCCGATGCGGTGGGCCAGGAACCACGGCGGGCCATTTCATTGTTTGATGCCTTACAGCCGACCAACGCGACCAAGCTCCTCATCAAAAGGCTGGGAGGGGCGACAGTGCAAACATACAGCGACAAGGAGATGCAAGAGCACGGACTGGGAGAGCTGAGGGCTGTCCTTGGCTTAGAGGGTGACGAGCTGGGCTGCTTCAGGTCACCATGTGGGATGGCAATCGATAGCACGCGGCTCTTTGTGGCAGACACCATGAACTCGCGCATCCAGGTGTTCAGCAAATCCTCCCTTCAACCCATGGGCGTGGTCAGCTTCCGCGAAGGCTCTGAGGTGCAAAAGCTGGAAGATCCCAGCGGCCTGTGTTGTATAGAGTCGGATGGCAGTACCACGCTCATAGTGGTGGAGTACCGACGTGATCGAATTCTCAAGATGCACATGGGCCCGGCATTGACTGCCCTCTCCGTGCAGGAGCTTGCGCCCGGTACCTTGTACGGCCCCTTTGGGGCGGGCTTCTCCTTGGGGAGGATAGTTGTAGCAGACTCCTGCAACCATCGATGCTTGGTTCTGACGCTGAGTGGCCAAGTGCTCTTGGAGTTCGGCGGCCGGGGCTCGGCACCCGGACAGTTCGAGTATCCCGAATGCATTGCAACCTTCAGCGGTGGACATATTGCAGTCAGCGACAAGGACAATCATCGCATCCAGGTCTTTGACAACCATGGCAAGTTCCACCATTTTATCCCCAAAGACTGGGCGCCGTCGCGCTATGATCCCGGCAAGCCTGGCTGCCTTTCGGGTCCCATGGGAATGTGCGTTGACCATCAGGATCGGCTTTTTGTGGCCGACTGCGGCAGCGATCGGGTGCAGATCTTTAGCCGCGAGGGAGCCTTTCTGTGGAGCTCTTGTGGGGAGAGTGTGAGTGCCAGGTTCAAATCTCCAACTGCTATGGCTGCTGACGATCAGGGCCTCGTGTATGTCGCTTCTGATCATTGTGTGCAAGTGTTTTGAAAACCGGTTCCTTTGTCAGGCTTCATGGCTTTCCTCGGAACGTGTGTCTCACAACACCTCAACTCAATACCAGTTTGTCAGTCGGTGCTCGAGAAACGAGTCTCGCGGTTTCTCGCGCGAGATGTGGTGATTCAGCAATTGGCACTCATGCGTTGCGTTCGACCTGCCAGCTCCCTGATTTCCAGGAGCCGAAGCCCGCGAAATCGCCGGAGGAACGACGGCGTGAGCGCCTGCAGAAGGTCGAGGCAGGCGCCTGGCCAATGCGAGCGATCAGTTTGCAAAGGACGGCTGCGGCTCCAGGATCATTCAGCGCAGTGCGTGGGATCGCACAAGGCGATCGGGCTCAACTGCAGCCCGAGTCGATTCAGCAGAGAACTTGCAAGCAAAGCCAAACAACCACACTGACAGAGGGAGTCGCAGGTTGTTTTCCTCCCATGCTGCCATGCGGAACCGCCTGGGCGCTTCGGCCTGGGAGGCCTGACGCAAAGGGGCCTGCTCAGCGGGCTTCATGTGGGGGCGCGCTGGCGAACACTTGGACACGGCCTTTGTTTGCAGCCGCTTTCTGCACCTTGGTGGGCAAGGAAGCGGGGGAGGGCCAGGGAAATGCGGGCAAGCGTTAAAAACGCAAGTGCTCAGGCTGCCAAAGATCATGGACGTTGAGGATGTGTCCAAATTGCTGGCGCAGTTTGTCGGGCACAGTTTCTTGACAGCCAGCCGAAATCTTCGGCCCGCCTTGCAAACACTCCGTGCAGGGAAATCACGGGGGTTGGAGGCCTTTTGGCACAGATGTTGTGCAAGGTTCGCTGAGAAGGTTCCGCGCTTGCTGGCAAACTGGTGTCTCCTGGGCGGAGCAGGCTTGGCGAGTTGCCTTGTTAGCACGCGCCTAGCTGGCCCAAGAACCAGGTGCTGCCGTCTCTTTCGAGCACTGGCTCACTGTATGCGGCTTGGCCCGAAATGGCAAACGCTGAAAGCCACGACTTGCTTGGAATCATTCTCCTCTTAGGTTTGCGGTGGCTACAACGGGGCTATGAAGCTGCGAACGGCCGAGCGCTTTGACCTGCTGTCAAGTTGCTGGGAAAAGCTGCCCATGATGCTGGAGGTGCCTTGACTTGAGGTTTCGAGATCATGGTTTTGAGGATGTGCGCATGTGGGCCTTGTCACCCACTGAAAGCACTCCTCAATGGTTTCCCAGTCCTATTTGATACGCACGGCCAGTGTAGCAATTAGGCATGTGACAGGCGGTTCTTGCATGTTCTTTGCTTTTCCAATTGCTAGGATTCGAGGAAACACGCCTTAAGCGCATGCAGGCGCGTTCTGGCCCAGCGGCTGCCTCCTTCCAAGGCTTGCTGGCGTTGGTTGCTAGATGACGGTAAGGGTTGCTTGGCGGTCTCCAGCCAGATCTGTCATTGACACGACGCTTGCACAGGCGAATGCTTTGTGGTCGGCACCAGCTCGGACAAAGGCCATGCCGCGGCTGAACGGTTTCTGCTCCTGGGCGCAACTCACTCTTGCCTGTCCAGTTGAATATGATCTGTTTGCTCAGACAGTTTCAAGTGAATTGGCGCCTGCGCATGTCGCAGCGAGGCCCGGGATGGGGCTGTGGGCGGCACTGCCCTCAATGCTCCAAGCCCGCGAGAGGCCAGGCTCCGCCTGTGTGGGTGGCAGCCTCTACGTGTGCGGAGGCGTGGAGAAGGCAGGTTGCGATCGCGTTGCAATGGGCCAAGTATGGCTCAGCCCAGGGGCCTGCTTCCCCGACTTTGGGTCTTTGGGGCTGACTTCTTTGACAGGAAGCTGAGTGCTTTGCGCTGCTGCAATCTGTAGAGCGGCTACGATTGGACGCCGATGGCTCCTGGGAGGCAGGATCCTGCAAGCATCTTGCAGTTCAAAGTCAAGCGCTTGGTGAGTGGCCAGCGTGCACACGTCTCCATGGGCCCTATGTTTTTGCGTGTTTCTCGGCTGCTCTGAGTGACGAAGGTGCAGGCCAATATGCGCGAGCCGCGCGATAGCCCTGCCGCCGCAGCGCTTGGGAGGTACATGCGCCTGGCCATATGGAGTTTTTGGCCGCGCTGTCGCAAGCACAAAGGGATCATCATGAGCATTGGCTCTGATTGCTGAGGTACATATGTGGTGGGGATAGTGCCTTGGCTCACTGTTTCCAAGAAAGCAGCCAAAAGGAACATTCTACAGGAAATCCGTGTTTTTGAGTAATGTTGGCCCCGCATTCAAAAGATAGGGGGTGTTCCCCTCCAAAAGCAATGAATCCCCATGTAGGGGACTGCCCTATCCATCAACCAGGGTTTCTTGGGGTTACAATCATTTGGCCAATGCTGGTACTGTTGCGCGCAGCTGCCAGAGCGCTTCAGTACCATCGTCACAAACGCTGCCCAGGCACTCAGTTTCAGCCACTGAACAGCGTGGAGCGGTTTGACGTGTTGAACAACACCTGGGAGGAGTGGCGTGCTCTCCGCAGATGGAAACTCATATTAATGCATATAAATACCCCTGGCTGCCAGAAAAGGGCATATTGTGCTTTTGCGGGGTTTCACGGATCCAATGCGTGCGTGCGTGCGTGCGTGCGTGCCTGTGTGCCTGCGTGTGTGCGTGCCGTGCGTGCGTAAGTGTGTGTGTGTGTGTGTGCGCGAGCGCGTGAGTGTTGGGCTTACTGAGGTCTTAATGAGGGCGGGTCTTGGGTTTGTTTGGGGTTCGTTTAGGCTCGGGCTGATATCCAGGAGGTTTAAGGCCTGGGTTGGCTTGGAGTTTGGACTGGTTTAATTCTGCCCAAAACTCGCCACATCCTGAAAGCAACCCTAAAGCCATGGCCAAGCCAGCCGCACACCCAGCGCAAATCAGCCCCAAACCAACCCAAGCCGATTCAAAGTCAACCTTAAACCCCCCAACAGCATCCTGGATTTCAGCCCTTTGCCGAGCCTAAACGAACCCCAAACAAACCCAAGACCCGCCCACATTAAGACCTTAGCAAGCCCAACACCCACCAAACCAGGTCCGAGCAACTCTGAATTGCCACCAGATCAAACCCAATAGGCAGCCCGTAGTCTGAGCGCCAGTAATGCGGCTTACCCTGTCCGGGCACTCGTTTACTGTCCGCGGTCACACGTTGCCCGCAAGAAGGCCTTTGGCCCGCCCTTTCTCAAGCGCTTGTGCTGGCGTATGAGCTTGCGATTTGGGTGTTTGTCTCAGTTTGTGTGTGAGTGTGTGCGCGAGCGTGTGTTTGTGTGCGCAAACCCTGTTCCAAAGGGCCTGGTTCGACCCTTGAAAACTTGGGAGCCAGCCAGTGCCAAGCGGAGCCTGTGTGGTGGAGTACCGATTCTGGAGTAGTCACTGGCTTTGACAAGTAGCTCCAGATGAGGGAAAGATCACATGCCTTGATTGCCTGTCGCTTTTCTGCTTGTTGCTCCACTTTAGGATGCAGTCGCGCTCGTTCGGATTCGTGTCAAGTGTGTGTGTGTGTGCGGAGTGGCAGATTACCCTGCCACCATCCACCTTTTTCCACCGCAGCAGGGGGCTGGAGCCGGCCCGGGGGGTGTCCAGCCAACGAAGACGCCCCCCGGTGTCCGGGTCCAAACGTACCTGCGGGGCTGCGCCTGGGCCATTGTCATGGCAGCTGGCGGGCCCACCCCAAACAAAGGTCCCCTTTTTGCCCTTTTCTCCAAAACCAGCTGAACCCCAGCTGTACTCGAGACTCACCAGTTGTACTCGAACGATGAGTGACTTATCAGTTGTACTCGAGACTCATCAGTTGTACTCGAGACTCATCAGTTGTACTCGAAAGATTAGCACCCTCCATCTGGAGTTTAAGTGTGTACACCCCATTCGTGGGGAATCCTCGGGTGTACCCATTGTGTGACCCCGGGCCGGCTCTGTCGGAAAATTTGACCTCAGCGTGCTTATCATAGACCAGCGGAATTTCACATTTAACCAGGATCGAGGTTTCACTAAAGGGAAGACAGCCACCTCTTCATAGCTACGTTTCACCCTTCGTTCTTTTTTCTCGCCTTCGTCTTCCGCGTGCCCGTCTTCTGGTTCTTCGCCCGCCTAGGGATGGCTTCTCCTTCCTCCCGTTCTCTTCCTGCTGCCTTTCGTGACCCGCGCGTTCGCCCTCCTCCTGTTCGCCCGCTTAGGGATGGCCTGGTTGTCCTCGCGTTGTTCACCTTTTTCCTCGTCGTCGTCTTCGTGTCCGTCTTCCTGTTCCTACTCCTCTTCTTCCTCACGTAGTTTGGCTTGACGTCTTCTTCCCCTTCCGTTGCGATTTCGTGTTCGTCCTCTTGGCCCCTGTGTGGGATTCGTCGTCTTCCTCCTCGAGCTTTGGACTTCATCCTCTCTTCCTGTCTGGGCGGGATGCGTCGCCCTAAAAACGCATACTACTTCCCTCTTCCTTTTCTTTTTCTCCTTTCTCCTCTCCTCGGGCGGGCTGCGGCGCCCTAAATAC